CCTCATTCTCACATTCTGATTGACATCCCCATTACCCTACTCATCTAAATGGCTCTGAGCAATTCTGGAAACTTTCCATTTTAAAAAGCTAAAAGAGGTATTCAGGTGGGGTTTCTATAGCTCATTTTCACTGCCAGTCACTTCTCCCTATAGGCATCTGAGAGATTATTTCACATCAATGGATCCAGGCACGGGGGCTCTGTATCATGCCTCCAGTGTGGCCTGGAGCAAGTCACATAATCGCTTTGTGCCTCAGTTTCCCATTTGTAAAATGGGGATAATAATCCTTCCCTGCCTCCAACAGGAGATGTTCAGATACTACAGCAATCAGACTAGGGCAATAAGTAAGTACCTAGGTAGCTAATCTAAAGCCTAGATTTCAATATATAATCTAGGACTGTACCTCCAATAGATGTATTCAGGGGAACTAATCACAGGTTTCCTTTCCCCTGATGGAAATAGCACGAAAACAGTTTGGTTCAAGACCTAGACTGCTATTAAGATGCAGATACAATTCTGAGCCCTGAAGTCTAACTTCCGCAGCACTTTGGTGGAGATCCCAACACCTCAAGAAATATTTCCCCTCAGAGACAGCCCATGGAAACACAGCCATGATTATTGATGCTAAGATGTGGGAAGCCCTAGCTTGGAGTACATCGGCGCTGTGATTTTTATACCAGTCAGCAAAACAGACAGACTGAGAATGGGCTGACTCCAGACCTCCAACTGCACCTGAAACCTCCTTCCTGGTTAAAACACTAATGAATACAGGAAAACATGTAAGAGACTGGGACTCACAAAGGGGATTGAAAATGCTTAGGTGAATGGGCCCCTGGGGGGCCTGCTGGCCTCTGGATGTCATTCTCCTTTCCCACAAAGGGAATGTCACAACATGTCAAAGGCAACAAGAAGAGCTGACACCAAATGGCTCAGGCTTTTGAAATCCTACGTTTTTTGTTGTCTTTAGTGCTACAAACTAGTTTCTCATTCTCAACCAGCAATAGATGGCACTTGTCTATTCCTGGGCAAACCAAATTTGTGACAATCTGCAAAGAAAATGCTTTAACTCGCACTCCCCTGGGTGAATACAGTGTGTGCCACAAGCTAAGTGCCTTTGTTTCTGAGCTAAGGGAGGCTGCTCCTGCTCCTGCTGTTCCACAGGGCTGCGATGTCTGGCTGCGTTGAGGAACGTGAATGAAAAAGGCGGGGATGAGCTCTCTTTGGTGACGTTTCCAAAAGCAAAGGGTTTTGAACACATAACTTCAAAGTTCATGAGAAGGGGGAGGGAAGAGATGGCTATCAGGGTGACAGGTTTAACCACATTAAAAGAGTGCCCCTCAGAGACTCCTCCTCCAACTGGCTTTGATCCATTTTTTATCCACATTTCCTTTCATTTCTCTCCTTTTGTTGACACATGACAGAGGAATCGATACCAGAGTGAGTGGAGCTGAGACATGCTCTGGTTTTTAATCCTGTAGCTGAGTCACTTCTGTGAGCAGTCACAAGCCCTGTCTGGGCCCGTTATTAAATACTCCAGTTCTTGCCCAAGTAGTTACAAGATTTTTCCAACTCAGGAGACCCTTGACCTTAAACTGACTTGCAGGACAGGGGACAAAAGGTCCCTGCTGAAAGTTCAATAAGTTTGAGTAAATCAACTCCAGTTATGATAGGAGGGAATTTTTAAAGCCTTTCCCACCTTCATAAAGTAGATATACTGCTCTGCATATTCTGACACGGATGCGTAGTTGGCTCAAGAGCTGTGACCCTCAAGAACTGAAGTGGAAGACGAGGCCATTCTGAGTCTCCTGTGTTTGCATTAGGCAATTTTCAATTCCAAATTGAGAGCATTCTAAAAAAAGTCAGGGTGAGTATCCCACAAGACCCTGACAGTTGCAAACCTTCCCTTCCCCCTTCCCAAACAATAATCACTTGATTAAAAGGGGGACTGCACCCCTCCATACTCTACAGCTGTTACTGTGAATGGATGGGGAGCATTTTTTAAACATAACGTCTTCAGGAGCAGCCAATTAGATGAACAGTAAGAGGCCACCCACCATTTCTTTAGAAGACTCTAAAGGTGAAAGTGATATAAACCCTCAAGGTTCAGTGTGTACTTCATCCACGAGCTCCCCAGGGTTAGGGAGAAGCTTCCTCTGAAGGAGAGACAAGATACAGTGCTAGATGGACCATTGGTCAACTCTAGTACAGTGAGACTGCAATGTTTCTATCAGTCTCCTATTCCCTGGGCAGTGCTGGCACCTATCTGCCTGTGTAGCTTTGTGCTTAAGTTCTTTCGTTTTTAAATGAGGGGTCACTGTTTCCAATTTTGCCTTTTGCTGGAAACTCTGAGGCTGGAGGAACCTAGTCCCAAAGGACCGGTAGAGCTCAAATCGATGTCAGACACGTGTCCTTGCTGACTAGACTTTGCTGCACTGTAGAGAAATAGAGCTAACAGATTTACCAAGTGGGAAAGGAGTGGGGAGAGGGAGAGAGAACACACTTCAGATGAAAAAGTTCACCCATTTAAAATAATTAATAAATGATGAATGGCATAAATTACCATGAGATGTGTTATGATATGTTGCAGAGACTTCTACTGATGCCTATGGCTGATTTTAAAGCAACCCATTATTAAGCCCCTATAAATTGAAGTGTGTAAATCACGTGTGGCTGTCTCTAGAATAGGTTAGAACACAGCTTAAATACTTCATTAGGGAAAAGACAATTTCTGTATTCAAGTAGTAATGATGTCTTTATAATCTTCCTTCAGACTGTTACCGTTATAATTCAATTACACGAGACATTCTAGAGAAGCTAAAATAATTGCTAACTGAACCTGCAGCTCCACACAACCACTGTAAGATACTACAAACTAGGATGGATAATTCCTTCAGTGACCATGCCTCTTCTCTACCTGGAGCACTGATAAAATGCTAAGGAATGGCAGACACAGCAATTTGGGGTGAGGCGGAACAACTAACTTCCTTGTCAAAGACAAGGGCCATGAATGTGAACAAGCTCAGTAAAGACAATTCATTTCCATACATGTATACCGATCCTCCCAAACATGGCAGAACACCGGAAGGGAGACAGGAGGCAGTGGGATTAGTATAATGGGTGGGTCTGGCAAAACCCGGATGTGAGAAATAAATGGGATTTCTCTGGACCACTTGATGATACTGATGGTTGTGTTTGGTAGGGTGTATAAGGAACTAACACATTCCAGAGAATTCCTCCAGTAGCCTTAGAATCATAGAATATCAGGGTGGGAAGTGACCTCAGGAGGTCATCTAGTCCAACCCCCTGCACAATCCCCAACTAAATCATCCCAGCCAGGGCTTTGTCAAGCCTGACCTTAAAAACCTCTAAGGATGGAGATTCCACCACCTCCTTATAGGGTGACCAGACAGCAAATGTGAAAAATCGGGACAGAGGGTGGGGGGTAATACGAGCCTAGATAAGAAAAACACCCAAAAATCGGGACTATCCCTATAAAATCAGGACATCTGGTCACCCTACCTCCCTAGGTAACCTATTCCAGTGCTTCACCACCCTCCTAGTGAAAAGGTTTTCCTAATATCCAATCTAAAACTTCCCCCACTGCAACTTGAGACCATTACTCCTTGTTCTGTCATCAGGTACCACTGAGAACAGTCTAGATCCATCCTCTTTGGAACACCCTTTCAGGTAGTTGAAAGCAGCTATCAAATCCCCCCTCATTCTTCTCTTCTGCAGACTAAATAATCCCAGTTCCCTCAGCCTCTCCTCATAAATCATGTGCTCCAGTCCCCTAATCATTTCTGTTGCCCTCCGCTGGACTCTTTCCAATTTTTCCACATCCTTCTTGTAGTGTGGGGCCCAAAACTGGACACAGTACTCCAGATGAGGCCTCACTAATGCCTTTCTTTGTGTCTTCCCCTCTCCTGCCCTACAATCAACATTCAGGTCCCAAATAATTAACAAGGAACTCCCACGAATGATGAACCAGTGGCAAAGGCTTCCTAGTAGGTGTTACTTCCTGAATGCTTAAGTCATGTGATGTGGCAAACTGCTGGAGATATATGGGTCAAGCCCTCAGCTGATGTAAATCTGTGTCACTCCACTGACCCCTGTATTGAACTTCAGTGGGGCTATTCTGATTCACAGCAGCTCTTGGTTCTGTGCATGTCACAAGTTTGTAGTAGAAGGCAGCACATATTTCATACTCCCATTGCTTTGGGAATGGCATGTTTCTGGTGAAAAGTAAAGTGTACTTTTGAACATGCCTAGGAATGATGGGAACAGAAGTAACTGTCTATGGTCTAGCCTATATACTACAATCCAGAACATAAAGTCTCTAAACCCAGGACACAATATGATGGACTCTGTAGGCCTGACTCTTCACTCACAAAAGTTGTACACCAGCATAATGCCATGGATTTAAACTGCGTGAGGGGAGAGTTGGGCCCTGTACCAAAACCTGCCGACTAACACCACAATGGGGCTGAGGGCACTGTTATCTGGGAGTTGCTATGGATATCTACAAGAGAAATGCCTTTGTTATCTAGTACTGTAGCATTCAGTTTGTGTTGAGCTTATCACCCCGGCCAAGCCAGTAGCCCATTATTTCTTTACTTTGAGACAGTAACACCTGTTCAACCCCCTGGTAGCCAATGAAGTCAGGGAGATGGCAGGATGATCATGTAACCTGAGAGCTTCAGTCTGTCTCAGTTCAGGTGACAGAACTCCCACCTCCACTTTGCATTCCTGTCATTGTGACCTCAGCATTAAAAAGCAGGAAACGCACAGAAAGACCAGCACACAGAAGCAGAGGAGGAAATAACTGAAATCTAGTTAGACTTTAAAGCGTGGACTATGCAATCTAATTACAACTTTTTCTCTCCGGTCAAATTTTGTATCCGTCTGGGCTGCCTTCCCCCTCCTCTTCCCCCTGCACAAGTAGCAGCCTGGTAAGAGTTGTAGGAAAACAAGGAAGATGAGAGGTGCAAGCACTCCTTTACCTTTACATGCCCCTGCAGCTCCCAGGTGATAGATCCCTGCTAACACACGCCAAATGGCCGTCTGCTCATCCACCGTGATTCCCAAAGTCTCCATAGCAGCTTGAAGCTGGGCAAATGCCACAGAAGCCTTCTGCTTCTCTTCAGTCTAGAAGGAGGGAAAAGAAACAACAAGAGAAACGTAATTGTCTCTAAAGCTAGAGCAGGGGATTCTTGAAAACACAAATACTCAGTCTCAACCTTGGTGGGAAATTAAAAAGGGCACCAAGATGCCAAGAGAGGAAGTGGTGGGAAATTACTAGCGATGCTCGAAAATTTCCCAGCCAAACATTTTTCCTTCAGAAAATGTCCTAACTGAAGCTTTTCATGGGAACGTGATGTTTTGGAGAAAATTTTGTTCTGGGACAAAAAAAATTGAAAAAAAGCATTTTGCTAAGGTTGAGAGATAGCATTTTGATTTTTCACTTTGAAATGACTTTCCATTTCAAAATTTATTTGATAAATATTATAAACTATAATATAAATATTTTAAAAGTTAGAATTGGAACAAAACATTTCAATTTTATCTAAACAAAATGTATCAACTGATCCAAAAAGAAATTTTGGGGACATTTTGAATTGTTTTTATTTCATTCTGAATCAGAATGAAAACCAGTTTCAACGTGGAGATTCCGAGTTTTGACAAGCCCTAAAGATCACAATTAGCCTGGTATGTGTAGAGATGCCATCCGAGTAAACCTGCCCTGGTGCCGAAGGAGCTTGCGCTGATTCTCCTTCCCAGGCTGAAGGAGGTCTCATGAACCCAGCACTTTGCCTGCTAATGCGAGTGCACATTTAGCCATGCCTTGGGCTGTCACGTCGCATTCAGTTCAGGAGGTACAGGCAGGAACGGTGGCAACCCCAGGGCAATTCCTGCTGAGTTGGATTTTATCATTTTGGTCTTCACCTCAGCCTGGCTCTGCTGCCAAACACAGTGCAAACTGGGCAGGAGAGTTTGACTGGAACTTTGCCGCAAGCACCAAGCTCAGCATGGTAGTGATTCCCCCTAGAGTATGAACATGTCTATGCAGATTCAAGCTGGCACCTCGAACACTAGGCGTGTCGTAGAGGCCCTGGTAGCAGTGGGCTGGCTGGCTTCACTGCTGCACTGTCAGTTTGCTAATGTTCAGAGCATGGGAAAGCACATGCAGCATGTTTTGTGGGGAGGCATTGCCAAAAATTCCCATCTGCCTTGGAGAGGGCTGTGCTGCACAGTTCAGTTCTGAATCTGAATGCCAGTCCCCCACCAAAGACCAGGACAGTCCTCAGCCGGGGTTTCCTGCAGTCCATCACAGCGGGAGAGTGAGAAAACAGTTACAAGTGTCAGATCCAGATCTGGACTCCAAAATGCACTTCTGCTGCTCAGGGGAGTGGAGCTCTAGGGTCTTTATCCTTGCGCTTCTCTACTCAGTCCTCCAGCCAGCAGCACTCAGAGCTGTGCTAAGACAGTGCCTGGGACTGGCCAGATGCCTTTGACCCCAGCACCATTACCTCTTTAATACAGGAATCTTCATCACTGTTATTAGACCCTTCAGAATCCAACTACTCTCCTTATATGCAGCTAATCCTACCTATGCTCTTCACAGAGACAGAAAGTACAGGACCACTCTTTTTTTAAAGGCTCCTGGTTGCTGTACATGAATTAAAAAGCATAGATTTAATTTTGAGAGGTGCTAAGAACCCACTGACGTCAATGAGAGGTGTGGGTATCCTTGAGGAAAAATCCTGAAGATGGGAAAATGATCACTTTGCTTTATCAGCGTGTTTCTTGGGCCACCCTGCAGAATGAGAGAATTCTATTCTAGGAATGTTTACAGAACACTACACAAACACTTCGTTCACAGCAAGGCCGGGTGTCAATCTACCCCGCCATGCACTAACCAGCAACCCCTGCAGCTGTGCACTACCAGTTCCCTAGTGCGCTTCTCCCATTTCAAAGCCGGGTAGATCAGAGGGCACCATGGAACTTTTCGTGTGGGGCTGCAGGGTCCCCAGGGACACTGCGTGGGGTAGGTTTACACCCCAGCTTGCTGTGAACTAAGGGGATGGCTACACTTGGAACTGGAGGGGCGATTCCCCGCTCAAGAAGACATAGTCGCACTAAAAGTAGCGTGTAGCCGACATGGCATGAGCAGCAGGAAGGGCGAGCCACCCTGAGTCCCTGCCTGGGGTCTCAGACGGGTACGTCCTCATGGCAGCCAGCCCGTCCCACAGCTTGCATAGCCATGGCTATACTCTGCTTGCTGTGGCTTTTTGTTGTCGTGCTCACAGAACTAAACGTTAGTGATTGCTGAGAGGTACGCAACCGTGACTTGATTACGGTTGTGATGGGCAAACAAAATAACGTCCCAACCAGTAATATACATACTTGGGGCTAGATTCACAAGAGGGACTGAGCCGCCTAACTGCCCCCTTAGGTGTCACTGGCATTCCCAAAACCACCTCTCAGCTGCCACCTAACCCTATAGGCACCTAAATTCTCTAGGTGCTTAAGTTTCCACCAGTGAAATCTTGTAGGCACCTGTTTCTGCCAGTGGGCATGTGCAAAGGCACCTAAATTCTGACACCACTGACCGGCTCACCACCTAGCGTGGGTCTAAGCCCCAGCCAGATTCACAAGTGAGGCGTTCTCCTAGCTATCTCATTGTGGGGCCGGGTGCCATATGCATGCTGCAAGCTCACCTAACCAGCACTCCTGGAGGAGGCGGCGCTGCAGCTGCTTCTCTTATACCCAATAGCCCAGTGGTGAAGGTACTCACCTGGGGTGAGGGCGGCGGGTTCAAATCCCCACTCTGCTTTATTCAAAGCAGAAACTTGCACCAGGTCACTCACTTCCCAGCTGGTCACAACCTCTGGTCTGCTGGGTCTAAGGCGGCATCACCCCCATCACCATCTGACCTGGCCGGGGCACCTATCTCCAGGCCTGGCTCACAATGATGGGACTTGAAGCAGAAATTAATTCAGGGAAGTTCAACAGCCTATGATACACAGAAGGGCCGACTGCATAATCACAGTGGTCCCTTCTGGCCTTAAAAGCTCTGAATCTACGAAAAAAAATCATTGACTCTTCTCAGCACAGTATCTGCATCTGGGATTTGCAGAGAAGTGAAAATTATTATGATTAGTTACACAATTATTATTAGTTAAATATATGTGGTCCCCAATTCCAATGCTACAAAAATTATCATTTTAATGCACAATTAGTCACGGATTTTAATTAAATGTTTTGTGTAATTGTATTAAACCCTGTATTTAGGAGGGTTGGTTACTGATTTAATGATTTAATCAGCTGATTTATATTTTCATACAATTTATATAATTCTGTACGTTGCCACAGCAATTTGGACTCGAACCATCGGTCTTCTCTCTTCTTGCCAAATATTCCAGCCTGCTGTTAAATTAAGTCAGCTAAATTGCTTCAGCCTACCCAGCAGCCCGAACTACATCCTTATCCGTTCATTTCCAATATACTATTTGCCCTGTAGATCTTAGTGTCAGTAATATTTCCATGATGTGATATTAACAAATAAAACAAACCTGAATTCCTTTCCCCTGTTCTAGGAGTTAAATCTAAGCAGGAGGTTTATATGTCATGAACTGGGAAATGGACAAATGTCAGAGCCACAAGGAAAGTTATATTTTTATTTTTCTGATGTGATGAATGGCAAAAAATCAGGTGCCCCAAATCCGCACTGTGATGAAAAACAGAGACTGCCACAGAGGCACAATGTGAGCTGCATTCAATGCCCAGAACAGAGAGGAGGGACTGTTCGACTGTTCTCATTCTAACACCGTCACCAGGTTATTCTGGCTCTTTCTCCAAATAATAGAATCTACTGAGGATATAAATCTTGGTTGCCCATGAAAGATTGAGTGAGTAAGTTCCCAATGCAGATTAGAGAAGCATATAAATGAATGGTGGGCTGGCTTCTTGCAGAAATGAAACAAATAGAAGAGACACTATCTATACACACACTTCCAGGGAAAGTTCATTCCAAATATTAGCAGCGTAGGACCGGATCAAAATAATAAAATGGCATAAAATCTGAGCACCGGCATACGACGGGGCCAGCATTGCTGTATGGGGAACCATATTTTATATCCCTGGCTTCAGGACTGTCCACCATCCAAGAAGTCAGCCATGCAGTCCTCAGGGACCGGCAGAGGCTGGGAAAGCCATTTAGAAGGGAAACAGGAACAACTTCCACCCCTCCTCTTGTCACTTCTTGCCCATGAGGTGGTGACATCCCCCGATGGATGCAGCAGGCAGTGTTCTCACGCAACTGAATGGCCACGCTCCAGCCCCTGCCATCCACAACAAAAAACGTAATCCCAATGACCCAGGAGAAGCACGGACTGGATTCCCTGCAAGGGCCATTTCCAATGGCAGCATGCAAATGGGTTTCAAGTGGAAAATTTTGGGAAAACAGGAGTCAGAGTTGGGCCGAGGGTCAATACCAGGAATCAGGGTCTGTGCTCAGGTTCCAGAGATTGATCAGGGATCAGAATCCAAGTCAGAGCTCCAGGAACAGAGAAGGGCCGTCATGACAGCTAGCTAGGGAACCATGTTATTGCCTACATACTTTCTGGTCCACCCCATGAGCTGATATAGGATCAAGGCGCCAATCAGGGATTGCTAAAGCAACTGTCAGTCAGATCACCCAAGGTGGTGCAACCTCGGTGAATTATGGGTCGCAGGGAGTGACCAGGTTACAGGGGTGGCCATATGGGGCTGTTCATTGCCAGGGAGCCCTGCAGGCCTGGGTTTAAATCCCACCAATCCTTGCAGCAGCAGAAAGGCTGCCTGGGCTATCTTTTCCCCCATAGCAGGCTCCACACTGTCATCTTTGTTTCTTTTCAAGACAAGGAAAAGTAGAGCATCGGCCTCGCGAGCAGTTGTGAGGAGTCTTTGCAAGAGGAAATGTATCAGACTAAGCCCATCGTAAGCAGAGCTGTCTACGGAGCGGGCAGGGTGAACTGATTTCACTGCTGTCTCCACGCATCACACCCACTGCAAGCAGATGGACCATCTTCACATTTCATCCCTGGGTGCTGGCCTACAGAGAACGTCATTTCAGCCCTCAAGCCCACACAGGAGATCCTCGAAAC